TGGATTCCTTCTTTAGGTATATACAGAGTGTTTTTAATAGAGATATGGAAATAAAAATGTAGTGTAAAACTTCATATTGTAAGAATAGGGATTATGAAAAGAATCTAAATATGGGAAAATATACAGGATGTCCTATTTAAAAAATTGTATTTTTGCTTTATCACATAGTTATTAATCATCCTGTAGAATTAGGCATATTTTCCAAGCCTAGAGAATATCATTGCATACATTTTTTCTCAATAACATTTTTGGATATTCTCTACCACGATGGAATTATCGACCAATGTCGCCCTAAAAACTCACCATATATTATCATATACTTATCATATTTATTTTATCTACTGTCAGTGAAGTATACATTTGTGCAGGTTCTCCACCTAAAGTTCATGTCAACCATTGCTTTTCTGTGTGGAAACTATCAAAAACACATGGCATTTTCTTGTTTGGTGACTTTAACCTTTCCTTTAATATTGTTACACTTCTTTGAAATCAACTTTATTGGGAACACCAACAATATTACAATAATTGTTTACAATAACTTTTATGTCTAGAGACTTTTTCTATATGAAATAATCTCAAGGAACTATAGTAACAATATCAATCTTTGTACCTCTAAAAGTATTGAAACCCCACTAATTTACTCAGGAGCTAAAAGAACTAAGTAATTATACCCAAAAACATGCAGCATATGATAATTACCTATTTTCCACTCTGTCCTCTCAATATAAAAACTAACAAAGCAATACTTTCAAATATAAATAAATAATATAAATGAATAATTTCTCAGTAATTCTAAATCTTTTCGAAACCATATAATTTCCTTATTTGACTGCAGATTCAGCTAATCGTATTGCAGCTTACAGAGAGAGAAAAGTATTGCAAATTAATTTAGCATTTAACACATTTAACACATTTAACAATAATTAACATTTTCTAGATATTACATTGATCTTCAATTAGACCAAACAAATAAAGGAGACATGTTCAGCAAGCTGATTAATATTCCATTCATACAATTCTCTAGTGATTATAATTTAAGCAAAATAAAATTTTGAATGTTATGTTCTTTTTTGGATAAGTATTTATCATTTTGAACTATTCTGTTGATTTTTTATTACCTAAACCTTAAGTTACCTATATTCTTTATGTTATTATATTATTATTGTTCTCAATTTTATTCAGTAGCAATATGTAAGCATGTAGTTTTTTATGTATACCTATACCATAAATTCCATAGGGTAAATAAATAATCTAAAGTTTCATAGAAATCACATGTAGTGGCTTTGTAGGGCTTTCCTATCTTTCAGTGTTAAAGATGTTTTGGATCATTTCTTTCTAATAACTTCAAAATTTCCCTTTGCTTATCTTTTTCTAGGTAGACAACTGAGGGTTACATAAATCTCAAGCTCACCTTAAGTATCAGTACTTGAACTAACTAATTTATTTAGTTCAAAACAAAACAAAACCACAAAAATGCAATTTAACTCTAAAGTTGCAACAAGTGAAGTGTGGAATTTAGGACTGTAAAACACAAGCCATGGGCTAATAGGAGAGAAGATATAATGTGAATATGTACTGGTAACAACATCATGCCTTATCTGCCTCAATTATAACAATAATTTAGAGATTTTTTATACAACACTGTCTTTACATCACAAAAGTCATTTACAATTTCAAAATCCATAATACTATAATAAACAAACTAGAATAATCAGAGAAATAGTCCCAATCAGAGAAGGAATCAGACAAGGAGATAGTTTTCAACATTTAACATGTTAGTATATTTATAAATATAAACTATATATACATATACATATATATAGCAAGTGTTTGCAACTTTAATTTTGTCGCTTCTCGCATCCCAATCGCCATAATTTCTTATCGGCCCAGTCTCCTTCTTGAAGACCTCTATTTTCCATTTCTATATGAATATTGCATATCCATTTCTTTCTTGGCCTTCCCCTTTTATTTCTCTGTGTAGGTCTCCAGTTCCAAACCTTTCGTGGTATCCTTTCTTTGTTCATCCGTCTCAGGTGTCCATACCATTTTAATTGTTTTTTGGCTATTGTATCCATTATTGTGTTCTTTACTTTCATTCTCTCTCTTATGTTTTCATTTCTTATGTGGTCAAAGAAAGTTAACCCGGAACATCTTCTCCAGTACATCATTTCCGTTGAGAGGAGTTTTTGTGACATATTCTTGTTAAAGACACACTTCTGACCCATACGTCAGCACCGGCTGAATCATAATTATACTAAATTTATAGTAATAACAACAGTCAATAAAATAACTGATCACTTGCTGATGATATTAAGCTGATAATATTAAGTAAGTTCATAACTGAACATGATTGTTACAATGGGTACTAAAACCAACTAAACCTATATCATAATTTAAATCTATTAGTATTACAGTGACCTAGGATTCAAGAAAACCGTAAAAAACCTAAACAACAAACAAATATAGCTGTAGTTGAATATGAGCACACCATATTATATAAAGAATATACAACATGTATGCAAGATCACATACACAGGAACAGAACACAATAACAAAATCATATACTATGAACAGACAGACATGTACTATCATAGTAAAGGAAAGAAAAAGAAATAGGTAAAAACTGTCCCATAAAAAATGGAGAAAAGGCTGCCTCTATATCTCACAAGAAATGTTATATTTGAATTAACAGATCAATTGAGCTTTTCAACAAATAGAATAAGACTAATTCCAAAATTTAATTTTTATCAAATATTTGGTTGGGAATAAACAAAAAATTACAATTACTTAATCTCTTTAATTGATGATTTAGCTTCCAGATTTCCAAATACAATTTTTTTAATCAAACAAACTGATTTTGTTGAATTAAACAAATATATTTTCAAAAAAACTTCCAATCTGGAAGCAAATACATCAAATAAAGAGTTAATTTTACAATTTTCAATTTATTCACACATATCCAATACAAATTTATATGCCATAAAATAAATTTACAGCAATATTAAATAAAATTATTTAATTTAAGATAAAATAGAAGACACAAATGGGATCTTAATTTAACTCTAGGTGTTACATTTAAATAAAAAATATATACTTACAGTAGAACCATAGGCCTCTTTAATAACACCTGGGTAATACCAGTCTCCTTGTCTAGCTAAAATTCTATGATTACACCATTCACCAAGATCAATAACAATATTCTGTTTACAATTAGTGTGTGTAAATATTGCTTCCTCTTGGGTACTAGTTCTTGTGGGGTAAGAATAATCCACAGCAGTAGCTTGGGGAGCTGACATCACACTATGACACTGAACCACTGATATTGGGATACATGCAGCTTGTGAATTATTCTCTTCTAGTTCTGAGGGATCAAATTTACGCTTTTTGGGTAACTTTCTTACCCCCATTTCCATGTTTGAACACTACTTAAGGTGTCCAATGGATAGCTAACTTTTAAGAATAGGTTCTAAATGGCAATCTTGAAACATTTTTGCACTGTACTTCTAGTGGCATGAGATAGAAATCCATTGATACAATCATCTGAAAAAAAGCAATTGATCAAAAGTTTGCCAACAAAGTCGATGTAATGTATGTATATAAAAATATTAAATATTTATACAATTCTATTTCTTTGCATTATTGTTTGAGAACAACAATAAACACTCCTTTATGAATGAAATTGTATAGTACATGATAGTAAATAAACATTTAATTGTCATATGGGCTAAGTGGTTATTGCTTATAAAACATCCAAGGAATTTATGTATTACTTACACATCAAAACATTTAGATATTTTGTTGTTATTGCCCTGTTATTAGTTTTACGATATCGCAACATTTCTTTTCTTGGAACACCCACAAAAACTAAAGAACAGAACAGATATTAAATAAAGTGATCCCCCTCGCCCTTTAGTGTAATAAAATAGAACGTGGATCATGCGCTAATGCAGGGAATACATAAAACAACAAGAACAGACAGATTTAGTTTGTTCTTTGCAGTAACCCGTAGAGTACCCACTGTAGGTGAATACATATTTTGACGTAAAAATGATTCGAGTTTTTAAGATTTTATGAAGCAATAATAGTATGAGATATCGAAATATTGTTTAAGTTTTAAATAATTTAAATAAATGTACGAAATATTACTTTGTGATAAAAAAAATTTATAGTCTACACTGATAAGTGTCGCTACAAAACAGGGTATACTTCACAACAATGAAAATTCCATTATATTCCAACCAAATGACAGGATGACAGGTAGATGTCAATTGGAGATTGATTATTAATTGTACAATGCGTAGCCTAAATAAATTAAAATTATTCAGCCGTAATATCAAAAAATTCTGAGCGATAATGCAACCAAAATGTATCTTGATTTCTTGATATTGTAATATTCCTGTCTAATATTTAATTACAGATCAGCGCTGCCACACTGCATTGACTATTGACTAAAAATTAGTACCTAATAGCCTTTGGGGAAAAAATATAAAATTTTATTTTCATAACAACAAAAATACTAATAAATTCAAACCATAGAGCATTGGATCATCGAGTTAGAATCTACATTGGATATAAAAATGTCTGCACAATTATAATATGGTAGAGCTGGAATTATTTGTATAATTGGTTTTAGCGAAAGTTTTATTAAACTTAAATTTGGTAAATACATTATTGTTTATTAATAAAGCAATTTACAAAAAAAATAAACAATGTCAAATATGACAAAAAATGGAATTACGTTAAAAGCCGCACATCTAATGATAAATTAGTATCTGTGGCAGCGCTGTAATTAGTGTTTCCATAGTAACACTGTCAGAATATGTCAATAAACTGTAAGATTTGACAGAAATATATTTATCTCTCTTTACACAAAAGTTAGTTTCAGCTGTCCTTTTTTAATTTCAGGTTGTCAGATTAGTAGGATTATCTCAATCAAACAAAATATTTGTTGTCATTAAAAAATGTAATATGTAAGTAAATAGAATTATTAGGTAAATAATATGGAATGGCTAAATTCACTTTTGTCATCAAAGAATGCAAAATCTGTGATTAACTCAGAAGACGAGTGTGATCCACAAGCTTGTTATGATAGCTTTAAGGAACATTGGCATCAAGTCTACAAAATATTTAACAGAGTTCAGGTACTGATATTCTGCACTTTTAAAGATAACAAGTTCTAAATTTCTCTTCTTTTAGCAATTACCTACCCACGATGATGTCCTGGGTGTTGTTAACCACTTGGAACAAATGGCTACTTTATTATTATATGATATGAAACGAAATGATAAAGTATATATTTGTCAATCATCTTCTAGATGTCTGGAACATCTACTTTCTGAAAATATCTTAGATAAATTGTTTGAATGGAGCACAAAATCTGGAAGGTACTATATTCATTTAGTCTAGGTAGCTGACCTTTGACAATATTTTTGTATCAAAAATATTGTCACAAAGTTTATTTCAAAATATACAAATCATTTTGCTTTTGACAACCTGCATAGCCTTTTATGAATTTAATTTCACAGACTACTCCTGATTATCTTTATTTGTGGAGTATATTCAATTGGTTAATCATTTCAAATTGGTTTTTATATATAAACAAATGTATGTGTTTATAGGAACTGTAAGTTTATTAATATTGTTATATTTATTCTCAATAAATTGTGATTTGATTGCTACACCTTCATAGATGAATTATCAAAAAATGGCTCTATATAAAAGATGTCTATTATAAAATATACACAATCCTTGCATGTTTGTAGCTATTAAATATAGAGATATTGAAAATTTCATCAAACACATACACAATTTGGTTATTTTTTGTAGTATGGTTATGTTGATAACAAAATTAATGGTTTTCCCATTATTAAACACAGAAGTATTTTTTTAATTTAAACCTAAACATGTATTTCGTTAGCATTTGTTTATATCTTGAAACTGACTAGAATAAATGTAAAATTAGACAATTGTCCAATATGGTTTCAAAGAAAAAAAGTCTAGTGGAATATGTAGTCAAGTATTAGGGGATATCTTATTCTATTTTTACTGAGGTTTATAATTAAAAAAAGGCTGCAGTATAACTAACAATTATGTTTTATATTATTGTAGCACATCCAATATATTATTGAAATTTAAGTGGTGATACCATTTGTGTTATTTTGTTGCAGATATATTAATGCTATAAGGTGTGAACAGTTAAAACTCTATCAAATGCTGATAACTCAATCAAGGCATGTTTTATTGTTACATGAATCATTTTTACATCCTTTGATCAAACTTTTATGTTCATGTGAAGAAGAAGTGTTTTCACCAGAAGTTGAGAGGCTCTTAGTAGATTTAATAAACCAGTTAAGCACTCTCCTTATGCAACATGTTGAATTTATAGATTTATTTTTTCAGGAAGTGAAGAAAGTTCAAAGGTAATTATAGATTTTTGATAATTCAATACAATATAAAAACTTCAACCTTAATTTATGATGTCCAGTGTGCTTAGATTTTGAAGTGTTATATGTGCCATATATTTTTCAGCCAATAGCCATGTAGGATTAATTTTGTTCAAAATTTATTGTGTGATAGTTGAAGTATAGTATTTAGTACCCACTTAGATCTTCTGATTAGTGCATGTCTCAAATAATGAAATGTCGCAAACTAATGAAGTTTGAGTAAATCTCTCACTCTGCACACATGCCTCATCATATCGTTGGTACACAGCCAAAACCGTGAATGTGTAAAATAGCTATTACGAGATAATTGATTTTTAAGGTTTTACAATGTCATGAAAAATCATATTTTTCAAAAGTCTTAATTATTTTTTTTTACAAAAAGCTTAAATTGGCCGTATGTTATTAAAGCGTTTTATCAAAGTAAATTTCAAAGAAATATATAGCAGCCTATAAGAGTGGATACAGGAGAGAGGAATACGACTATCAGTGGGTAAGAGATAGTCTTAACTTACCAACACTGGAGTCAAGGAGGACATTGTTGGATTTATGTTTCTTACACAAAGTTATCAATGCTTTTATAGATTGTCCTCAACTCTTATCGCTTGTTAGTCTTAAAGTTCCTAGTAGAAGCAACAGACAATCAGAAATCTTTTCGGTGCCATTTCACCAAACTAATTATGGTATCAATGAACCAACTACACGATTGGTCCGGAGTGCTAATAGCTTGCCAAGACAAATAGATATTTTTGACTCCAAAATTAGTTTGTTTAAAAAACAACTAAAAAATATCTTACAATAAGTTGGTTGTACATCTGTATTATTCTTATATGTTTGTATTATTCTGAGGTGTTTGTTATTTTAATAATTTATTGTTGTTAAGGTGTAACTTTTTAAAACTTGTGATTGTTATTTTAATAATATATTGTTTTTAAGATGTAACTTTGTAAAAATTGTAAGTAAATGGATGCCGTATATAAATAAATAAATATTTTTGCTAATACTTATAGTCACATTCGTTAAGCTGGTATTGAATATTTTTTTATTGCTTTGCACTTAGGCGAAATGAAAAAAATGAATAGCAGTACATCAGTCTACATTTTATTGCTAAATTAAGAGATTATTATCCACAAAAAAATATAAGAAGCACCTAAACATATTGGCAAACTTACACAAAATTTGTTATAGAATATCACTACCACACCTGTTTCAGCTGAGTATAATGATTATCAAAATTTTGTTCTACGTACGTGAAGCTTTAAAAATTTATGGTATATACATTATAAATTAAAATTTCAAATCCAAATTGTTGTTCTAAATCTCCCGATCAAAATATTCCTCTTGTCTAAAGCAATGGTTAAAAATATGTGTTGTTAATAAAAACAAACTGACGAATACTAAAACTATCTCTCTGATGATGAGTTGTCCAAATCCTTGTTCCTTGTAGCTCACACTATCTATTCTTAGCAGTCCCCTAGGTAATCAACAATCTTACAACAAATTGTTGCAAGCCTATGGTCTTTAATTATCTCCTTCAAATGCATGTATCATTCAAATGATACTAGCCTCTTCTCCTCTCGATAAACTGAATCTCTCGTTCTGGCCTGAACAGTGACTCTTGGAATATAAGTAGAAAAATATAATTTACAATATTTTACTGGGTCAGCTTTTGTCAGATACATTTACTCCACGAAAACTCACAAACATTCACTTCTACTGTTTACTACCTATCAGGAACCACCAGAGAACAATGACTGTTCGCCTTGCACACTTGGAAAACAACTGATTAACTTTTCTCCCTCAAAAATCTAGATAACTTTCCTTCCTACATACCTATCCCACTTTTTTCAATCTCCTCCAATCAAAGCTCGTCACAATTATCCCCATCTCTTCATTTAGATAACAAACAATAATTTTACCTACAATTATAACTTTCCTAAAAACTATTAACATGCTAATCGGTTTCTACAAATTCTTAAGAGCTAACGGAGAAATATAATTTCTAAATATTCCTATTCTATTGTCTTATTTACTGTATAAGTCCATTTGGAAAACCCGCTCGCATTGTTCATGGTTTCACTAATTTTACTCACGTCACTCGGATATATTTTACAAAGAAAATAATTTATGCATATCTTTAAAATTTTGTTTACTACAGGTAATCCAGGATTATGGACTTTCATTTCTTCGAAATATCTTTTATAGTTTATTAGTCGAATTATTTGAATTATTATATTTTGTACTTTGAAATATATTAAGCAAACCAATATTATTTTCAATTTTACATAGTATAACAACTCCCCGCCATTTTATTTGCTGAAAACTCTTTGTTAATTTTTTAAATGACATAAGTTTTCCAGGATCAAATTATTTCACTATGTTATTAAAATCTACTCATGATACTGATATATGTCGTGAATGTTAAAAATACCCCGTATATTGCCTGTCTCTATGTGCGCTAATATCGGCATCAATTTAGCACAAATATCATTTTGTAAATTCGACACCCTCAGTGCCCTCACTAAGACTTTATCTCCTTTCTGGAATGTGATCGGCCTTCTTCTTCGGGTCCTCTCTTGCATTTGGAGATATTTCTCTCCACTTCGTCTCAACCTTGTTTGAACCACCTCAATCACTTCTTCGTATTGTCTGGGGGCGGTGTCTTCCCACGGTCTTATTGTTCCTTTCATTATATATAAAGGCGTCTCTTTGGTAACCGTATTTGGTGCACAGTTTAAATATGTCTCGATCTCAAACACTTTTCTGTCCCAATGTCGATGATGTTCTTCAGCAGCAATTCGTAGAAATTTTGTGACTTCTTGTATAAAACGCTCCAATGGGTTGCTCTGTGGATGGCGGATGCTTATAAATTTTGTATTGATGCCTCTCTCTCTCTTAATTCCCATTTAAAGCGTTCGTTCCTAAAGTATGTCACATTGCCCAATAAAATATTGTCTGGTCTTCCCACTGTTTCTACAAAATCGTCTATTTTCCGAAGTATTTCAATTCCTTTCGTGATTCGACATGCGTACAATTTAACATATTTTGAGAAAAGATCTACCATAACTAGTATGTGTTTATTCCTCTGCGTTGTTGGTATCAAATTTTTTGTGACGTTTTCATTTTTGAGGTTCCTACTTTTACACTTCTGGCATGTCACACAATTTCGAGTCACCTCTTTGGCTATTGTATAGTCCTGTCGATAAATGTAGGTTATGACCAAAATATTTTTTTTGTCCATTTTCTTCATTGATTTTTGAAAGTCAGTTATAATGCACATACTATTGTTTTATTGTGTTCATAAAATAAACCCATACTTCTGCCATTCACAAAGTTCCAACCACAAATATGTTAATAACTGGAATACTTATAGTACAGTAGCTTCCACCAATCGCAACTCCATGTGATGCACAAGTACCAACCTTCCAACACCACCTTTAATAATTTGAGCTCAATTGCACTTATGTTTACAAAATACAGTGATTTAAGTGAAATTGCTTTTTAAATTAATTTTACTATCTTATGGTGTCTACACTAAATACACAATAAGGGTGCACTAGGAATAAACAAACCAATACATTATGAATGTTGCAAGGTGCACTCAAATCATGATTTTATCAATGTGTAAACATACATATCTACCTCATAAACTCTATTAACCGACTTTGTAGCATAAGCTATCAGCAACTCTAGTAATTAACAGCATACAGTATCATTTCTTAGTCATTATATCTGGAAGAATTTACTATAACTTAAAATGTGTTGCCAACATACACAAAATAATTATAGTACTGAATTGTACAGCAACAGTTTCTCCATCAAAATATGTTTTGTAATAAAGAAACCAAGAGCTGTTTGATCAAACTTGACAGCAGATAACATTGGATATTTGAAATGGACTGCCATATGCGGATTTCTTTCTAAAGAAATATAGTACATTTACTTCTTAATACAAGCTTTTAAATTTCCTAAAATGTTCTGCTTCCATACTCAAATCTGTAAAAGGCTTCGTCTTTCATAATTTTAAAGTGAGTCCCTTTTCTCCAATAATTTACCTCTAAAGAGTGATCCAAGTTGGCTTCAAGATGTGTATTTTCCGTTAATAAATATTTATGTTTGATTTTCTCGAGTTGTGGAGATCTATTTAGGATGTTAAAGGACGGCGTTACCATCTCACCATTACAATTTTGACATGGACAATTATCTGACCATATTAAATTTTTTTTCAAATCCGGTGACAGCTAATGATTCAATTTAGCGCATAAGGCAAGAAGCCATCTCGATTACAAAAAAGGGTACCACCCAACACTAAAGTTCAGATACTGTAAACGCCGTGTAGGAAGATCCAACCTAGCGCATGTGACATATGCCGATTGTATACGAAGAGGTGAAATAGTTAACGCTATGCTACTGACAGCGTGGATAAATATGTAAATAAGGCGCTCAGATCGAATAGGTACGAAAATAGGGATTTGCACTGGGTCTTCGTAACTTGCTCCTACTATACTAAGAGTTTTTATCATGTCGATACTTAATGAAAATAAATTAAAACAGATAAATTAGATTACGATGTTAGAACTGTCACAAGTTATTTGCGTTGAAAAATACACAAAAACAAACATTTTTTCTGCAGGTGCAACAAGTATGGAAATAGTGCAATAATGCATATTCCCAATGTTGGCTTTGACCCGTCTGATCATAAAGTTGTACTGTTCTGTATGCATGGTATAGTAGATTTTATCTTAATTTTTTTTTGTTGCAGCTTCATCATATTTTCTTTATTAATACCATTTGTACATAGAGAAAACTCAACAGGAATGAAAGCACGCGATGCTCTCTTGCTTTGTATGTCACTGTCAAAAAAGAATAAAAAAGTAGTTACGTATATTGCAGAAAATTCTAATTTTTCACTTTTACTGGCGTCTGGTTTAAGTGGACTGTATTCTGTGTTACCAAATATTTTAGATGATATTTTAGTACCTGACTGGCATAGATTTACCCCTGACGATGTTAACGAAATAAAAGGTGAGTTTTAAGTTATTGGTAGTCAATTAATATTCATAGGTACAGTTTGTCCAACCTAGGAACAAGTTTGAAAATCTTACAATCGCCACGCCCGCCAGATGCGCACTAAAATTATCGGGAATATTTTAGTAGAAGTAAATACTGACCTACTTATTAGTTTCTTTATTATGTCTTCATTATGGATATAAATTGGCTCCAAATCCTCAGATTTTCTCAAATAGACTCTACCATTTTTATGCAACAATATTTGAATTTTTTTCCTTTCTGAATTTATAAGACATGTTGAATAAGCCTCCGTTTAAAAAAGTTAGTTGCTCATTTATACACTCACCGGCACGAAAAACGGAGCACTTGCATTTTTAAAATAAAAACTTAACATTTCAATTCTCTTTAAACTTTTATTACTATCATAATGTAAACACAAACGATATTTCGTAATTTATAATAAAATTTTAACTTTTGAACAAAGAACTGTTTCAGTAGATAACAATTTAAAAATTAAGAAATAAAGGTAAGTAAATGTTGTAACAAACTGACGATCGATTAATAAAAACTTAGGAACTCAACTTCGTATCCTTCGCCCAAGCATGTCCCAAACACGTTCGATTGGCTTTGCGTCTGGACTCAATGCTGGCCAATCCATTACAGGAATTTTTACTTAATTTAAAAACTGTTGAGTGATTCTCGCACTCTGAGGCTTGACATTATCATGCATCAAAACAAAGTCATTACCAACAAAACCAGGATAAGGCACAACAAAATCTTGGAGAATTTCATCAATGTACCTGGCAGCTATTATGGAGCCTCTCAGAATGATGTACAATTCTGTACGTGCCTCTAGATAAATTCCAGTCCACACCATACTAGAGCTATCAAGGGGGACTGAAGGTACATTCTGCAAAACGCTCATATGGTCTTCGCCATACTCTCTCACGGCCATCTGGAGACTGCAAGGTAAACCTGGACTCATCGGTAAATAGAACGTGTCTCCAATTATTTACAGTAAAATGAGCATGGTTTCTGGCAAATTGAAACCGCGTAACTCGATGGCGCCCGAGAAGTTGTAGGCCTGTTGCAAGTCTCCGATTGCTTAAATTTGTTTCTTCAAACCTTCCTTTAACTGTTCAGTCACTTACGTTAGTATTTCGAACGTACTGAAGTTGATTTCAGATTTGTACAGCCGTGGCACGACGATCTCGTAGACTTTGTAAGAGGATAAAGCGATCATCACGGTCACTATTTCTTCGTAGGGGACCGGTTCCAGGTCGTCTAGTGTAAGCTTCGGTTGCTAAGAAACTTGTAAAAATACGGTGCACAGTAATATTGGATATTTGATACTTATGAGTAGACTTCGGCAAATATGCAAATAAAAATGTAGAAAATATGCGCATAAATATGCACGTGTTTACCCGAAAATATGCAAATATTTTACAAAATATGCATACAAATAAATAAAAAAATCGTAAAATAGTAACAATTTTATTTAAAAAAAAAGTGTACATAACTAAATATTTCCTACTATTCATTAAGATTTACATTTATTTTAAGTAACTACATCATTTTTAAGTATGAATAAACTTATTTAGAATTATGGTAACAATAAATGACCAAGTGGTATTCAAAATTTTGTAACAAAAACTTGTGGGTTCTGTCTGAGTACATATATTTATATATGGAAAAACTTCGTTCAACATCAACTGATGTAACGGGAGCATTTTTCAAACTAACCAAAACATTTGGTTCTAAATTAATTGTTTCCGAAATATTTCCAGCTAGAACACTGACTACTTCAGAAAGAATATGGTAACCTTTATTTTTTCCATAGTAGCTTCAAATTTTTTTAAAATATCTTTTTCAATATTACCTCTAACGTTCCGACAACATGACACAAATTCTTTTATTAATGCTGTACTTTCGAACAATGACAGTTTTGGTGATTCTAACTAAAGTTCTAAGTAATTGTTTTTTGAACAAAACTAAAATTTGATTTTATAAATGAAAGTTCTTGTTGAAGCAAGTTACTCTAAAAAGTTTGTTTAGAATCCAAAAGAAATTGGGAACTTTCATCTGTTAACGTATCAATTATGTTCTTTATTTTAACAAAATGATCTGCATAAAAATTAGCTGCTTCTAACCATGTTCCCCATCGCGTTAAAATAGGTTGTGGTGGAAGAGGAATGTTAGCATTTCTTTATAAAGTTGAATTCTTATAGGAGATTTAAGAAATACTTTTTTGACACTGGATATCATGGTATTTACAAGAGGAAACTTTTCTCGTATTTCCTCTTCAACTCTGTTTAATCCATGCGCTACACAAGTAACATGTATTAAATCTGGGAAAAATATTTTAAAATTTTGTCCTGCTTTCACCATATAAGGAGTAGCATCCGATAAAATAAGCAGTAATTTATTAGAAGGAATAGTTGTCGGAAGAAAAAAAGTTGCTAATGTTTCTTGTATAAAACGCGAAATTGTTAAACCATTTGTTTTCTCAAGTTGCTGGCATGAAATAAGATGCGATTTTGGTAAGGTATCTTCTTTAAGAACACCAATCAATAAATGAGCAATATACTTTCCTGAGGAATCAGTGGTTTCGTCTACAGATATGTAAAAATAATTATCTGCAATTTCTTCCTTAATATTAATTAACACCGACGAGTATAGCCCGTTCACATTATTTCTTCTTAGAGACCAATCACTTGGAACATTAAGTTTGCAATATTTTTTTAGAAACGAACTAAAATTTACATTTGCTAATTTTGAAAGCGGTATGTTTGCAGACACTAATGCGCGACACAAGTCTTCATTAAAAGTTTCTTGCTCATCTAATTTTTTTTAAGTAGATTGGAAACATTTAGCCATTGAAGTTTGATGTTTTCCTCCTATTTTTCCTTTTTTTGCAATGTGTGAAGCAGTTCTCACATGTTGGTCTATCTGAAATTTCTTCTCACATGCTATCTATAAATAAAAATACAAACCTTTATTTTAACCCAACCTTTTAAAATATAAAAATATACAAGGTGTTTTTGGTTAATCAAATAACTGGTTTGGAAAAAAAACATTCGCTAAGTGTTTTAAATGCAGTATTAATCCACAAATTAGTTTTTGTTACTAACCATTAGTACATCATATAACTTATTTTAAAATTCAACAAAAGTTTTTTTTGTTAATTCAATTACAATAAAAATAATTGTGTTTTAGAATAGCTGACTTCATAAAAAAAAGTAAAGGTGAAAAATTTTTCTAAATACACACCATTGTATTGTACCATGGACAATTTTTTCTCACTAAAGGAAGCTATTTTTCATTTAAAAACAACCTACGAGTACTAAATTTCAAGTAAATACGTTTATTGGTTTTAAAGTTATTGTTGTTATTAACTAAAAGAATTTAATTTTTTTTTAATTTCAACACCCTGTATCTCGAAAAGTAAATAAGTTTGACTCCTCATTATATATATCGTTTTGTTCAATTTTTCGAGAAGTATCTACAGTCAAACGTTGTAAGTGTCATTTGGAAACACCCTGTATGTATGAAATATTAGATATTTAATAGAAAGTATTAGATACTTACAATTTTGCCACAGACTGAACAGTAGATTTTTCCCATATCCACAGCTCTTTATAAGGTTTAATCCAAATTGAAGCACTGGTTGTTTTAGGCATTATAAAATCACAATCTTCCTTTTTGTTACGCACAATGAGTGTTTACGCTTTGAATATCAAAATAAAAATGATTTACAAATCTGAGCATCAAATTAGAAATGTTTAGGTACCTAATTCAATAAACTGGGAGTTTTTGGAAAATCCCTAAATTAGGAACAAAACTTTTAGCCGTTTACCTGCTGTTAAGATACAATAAATTGTAGATAGATTTGGGGATTAGATCATAAAATGCAAATGAGCGAACCCTTAGCGATTATCCAATAACTGAATGCCTCAGTGACCGAGACTTTCTAAGAATGTTGAGGGCTACTTAAATTTGATCTTCTTTGAAATTGTAAATGTTTTGTACCTGTAGAGATTACGTACTTAGATCATTTCTTGATTAAAATGACTACAAAATTTTATACAAGAATTGAAATAAATTGGTATGTTTAAAAATTTTCAAATACAGTATAAAAATCTGAACTTTTATGCACTTTATGCAAACTTTTATACAAATATGCCAAAATATGAAATATTTGCATAAAATATGCACAATATGCAAAATATGCACAATATGCAAAATATGCAATAGGCATATTTGCCGAAGTCTACTTATCAGTAACGTATCGCTCACTTCTTCCAGTCTTGAAGCAACGCAACAATAGCAGCCACTGTTTCCGAATTTACGACCATAATTGTTGAGAATAAATCAACGCAACTAAACTTTAAAGTATGTTTGACACTTGATTTGAGTTGACAGTTTACTCACATCAGCAAGGACAAAAAAATAACAATAGAATACCAACAGCTACCTTTACACTTTTAAAAATGATAAAAATAGTGTATTCTTTATTTCTGATTTTTTATATATTTTTTTTTGGATAACCACTTAATTTTTATTAGAAATTACTTAAAACAATTTGTTTCGTTTGTGTTTACGTTATTATAATAATAATAAAAGTTTAAAGAGAATGAAAATTTAAGAGTTTATTTTAAAAATGCAAGTGCTCCGTTTTTCGTGCCGATGAGTGTATATATGTTTAAAACATTACTTTTGTCTTTAATACAACTTTTTATATTTGAGTTCATCTTAGGATTTTTCCTTGTTTTAATATCAAGTACCTCAATTTTGCCACAATTACTGATCAATTTTTGGTTTCTTGGTTGTAACAGTCAAACAGTCTGATACATCATGACTAGTCAAATGACATGATGAAAGATTCTAGCAATTTACATTAGAACCTATTAGGATCGTCATTTTTAATGTGATTTCCATGAATATCCAGGTTACAGGAATATTCTTTATAGACGAGTCAAGTTAGTAGAAAATAAGTGTTTTTTCGTCACAACTGTAGACGGGTTTGACAGTTGAAATGGATAGTATGAGATATTACAAAAAGACTCTCATCTAGGGATTCATGAATTTTTTAGTGGAACTATTTTTAAATAAACAATTAATACGTCAATATCATTATTTTGCTCATAACTTATGAACTTGTCTATTTAGAGATTTGACGTCCACAGACGAGTTGTTGAGAAAGAAAAAATACACAAAATGAGATATACTAAATTAAAATCGGTTAATAAACAAAAAAGTTATTGCATAATAACCAAGTAAAACGGCTGTTTTTGATTATTGTTAATAACTCTTTTAGTAATCAATAAAATTTATTTAAATGTATCTGAACTTAAAGATCTCATCGTGTTCGAAGTGTGTGCGAAAAATAGGCTAGATCCGTCAAATAGTTTTTGCACAATTTAATTTGTTTATAAGATTTTTTGAAAAATACACAAATTTCTAAGGCCGGTCCAGATAATTTGACTAAATGGATCTTAATAATCCGGGGCTTATTTTCTTCAATGAGACATATATTATTATCCTCTGGAAAAAAATTTAAAAAAAAATACGTTTATGTACACAAAATGATTTATTAATAAATAGCACATTTAAAGTTTATAAACATTTACAATAACTCCGTACTATTTAGTTTAAATTAAATGGCAATAAAATATTCGGAAGACGGGTTTAAAAAACAACAACTTTAAAAAAAAAAGGTCCTGCGACCATTAGGAGCCGAGTTAGTCCTTTTTCTTTAAAAAATCACTGTTACGTCAATTAACAACATTAAGGGCTGAAATTAACCAATCTTTTAGAAGAAAAGTCAAAGTTATTCTCAAAATGTTTAACAAAAAAAAATAATTGAAAATTGTTTAAACAGGAGTGTTGTAAACGAAGAGTACTTTGCGTTCCGACTAGAATGGAAGGAGTGGGGATTGCCGATTGCACACAAGCCGCGCTCTCCAAAAAGGTCGAGGGCACGGTTTCAAAATAGATTGCTTGGAAAAAAATGACATATCTCGGGTTCTAGTGGACCAAATTTGTTCTTTTTTTTTAAACTGGGGCACAACGTTAAAATAATAACATTTAACGTACTTTCATTGCAAAATTATTCAAAACAAAGCAGCTAATGACTACGGAATATACAAACTTTTTCTTGAGTCGTCTTTTTATTGTTATTTTTCTATTTATTTATTTCAAATATAATTATATTAAATAACTGTTATAAGTAAATGAACATTTTGAATAATGTTTACTAAAAATTTATTAATGAAATAATAAATTAATTTTATGTTATTACAGAAGTTGAAATTTTGTGTAGTGATTTTTTAAAATAATTTAATTTACTGTAATTTTCTACGCTTAATTTCTATATCGTCACTTCTACTACTATGTAAACATTCATCTTCACTTTCATCTTCAATTTCACTTGTATTATAACTTTCATAAATCATTTCATTTTCATTGTCGCTATTCTCATCAAACCCAGTTAAATACATTTCATCAATTATCTCTTGTTCATCTGTTGTATCGTTTTCTTCTTCATTAATAATTTCATTAATATTAGTACATTATAATAGTAAAATAATATTATATTCAAAGTTAACCGTATATTATTCAGACAACGTGGTACAACCATGTGTTTATATTAATATATATCAGAACACGTAGTTTTTTTTAATATTCAGATGAATTTTACATACCATTAATTATTTGTAACAATTATTAAATAAAACAAAACACTAAATATTTCAATACAACAAACCGGTTGTATAGTCGCAGGAAAATGAGTTGTACCGCTTTCGACGTGCGCTCGACGCTCGACTTTTTTTAGAGCGCGGCTTGAGTGCAATCGGCAATCCCCACTGCTTCCATTTGAGTCGGAACGCAAAGTACTCTTGGTTTACAACACTCCTGTTTAATCAATTTTCAATTATTTTGTTTGCTAAATATTTTGTTAAAAACTTTGACTTTTCTTCTAAAAGATTGGTTAATTTCAGCCCTTAATGTTGTTAATTGACGTAACAGTGATTTAAAAAAAAAAGGACTAACTCGGCTCCTAATGGTCGCAGGACCTTTTTCTTTTTTTTTTAAGTTGTGTTTTTTAACCAGCTTTCCGAATATTTTATTGCCATTTAATTTAAACTAAATAGTACGGAGTTATTGTAAATGTTTATAAGCTTAAAAAGTGCTATTTATTGTTAAAGTATTTTGTGTACATAAACGTAATTTTTTTTAACTTTTTTTTTCCATAGGATAATAATATATGTCTCAACAAAGAAAATAAGCCCCGGATTTTTAAGATCCATTGAGTCAAATTATCTGGACCGGCCTTAGAAATTTGTGCATTTTTCAAAAAATCTTATAAACAAATTAAATTGTGCAAAAACTATTTGACGGATCTAGCCTATTTTTCGCACACACTTCGAACACGATGAGATCTTAAGTTCAGATACATTTAAATAAATTTTATTGATTAATAAAAGAGTAATTAACAATAATCAAAAACAGTGGTTTTGCTTGGTTATTATGCAATAACTTTTTTGTTTATTAACCGATTTTAATTTAGTATATCTCATTTGTGTATTTTTTTTCTCAACAACTTGTCTGTAGACGTCAAATCTCTAAATAGACAAGTTTATAAGTTATGAGCAAAATAATGATATTGACATTTTAATTGTTTATTTAAAAATATTTCCACTAAAAAATTCATGAATCCCTAGATGAGATTCTTTTTGTAATATCTCATACTACTTATTTCAACTGTCAAACCCGTCTATACACTTGTGATGAGTAAAAACCTAACTTGATTGGCCTATTAATTTCTAATTCGCAGATCATTTTCTCTAGTTTGTGACTTTGGTTTTTAGTTGGATATTTTGTTTCTTGATATTTCGCAGTTCTTGTAGTGATTGGGTTTCCCAACATGAGAGAATCAAATCTTTTACTTAAGAAAGCCATAAAACTCTTCAATATTCTGAAAAGATTTTTGAAACTCGATTTCATTTGGTTTTAATGATGAAATTTCAATTTCTGCTGACTTAACTCACTTTTTGCACATTGACCACAGTCGACTGTATTTCCTTTCATTTCATCGGATTTCCCACCACAACTACCGTGGTATTAATTTCTCATGCAAATGCTATAAATCACAGCATCTACAACTTTTTTTTACTATAAAAATTTGAAATGTTTATTTTAACTTAACCTCAACGTTTGATATATTATTATGTTAATTTTTCAAAATGTTATTGTCTTCTTCTGTAAAATAGAACACTTTTACAGGACTTTTAACATTTGTGACATGTTGTATAAATCACAGCATCTACTACAATAAAAATAACTTAATTTACTTTTTTTTACAATAAAAATTTGAAATGTTTACTTTAACTTAACTTCAACGTTTGATATATTATTATGTTGATTTTTCAAAATTTTATTGTCTTCTTTTGTAAAATAGAACACTTTTACAGGACTTTTAACATTTGTGACATCTTTGGAATTCAGTAATGCCGTAGCACAAGTAGCCCATCCGTTATTAAGGAAACAACTTCAGGAGTTCTTATATAGAGGATTTTTGATACCAGTATTAGGACCAGCATTATTACAAAATAATGTTTGTGAGCAAGTAGCTGCCACAGCTTATTTAGAATTGATTTTGAGAACCATAACAGACACCGGATTACTCCATTCATTTCTCCAGTTTTTATTAAATGTTGATTTTGATGGTCATAAATTATTAGGTAAGCATTTTTTAATTTACAATGTAGATGTCTACATTATTCGAACTTTATATACTACACTATATTATATAGTGTGTGTTGAAAAAATAATTCGCGGAGTCTTTATATAATTATTTACGAAATTTCATTTTTTCAAAATTTAAGTATATCTTAAGAAACTATGAGAAATACAATTTCACAATTTAAAAAATGTGAAATGTTGAAACAAAAGTTAAAACTCTTCGTAATTCAAAGATTACCTAAAAATATGAGCGTGCTTTTCGGACTCTTATTAAACAAGATCACCGAGCTTCTCGAGAATTAACTGTAAAATGGGCACATGCCGTTAGTAGACCAATTTTAAACGAAAGTTGTTTGAGGAGAATAGAAAAATGGGATATGGATTCTATAAGGTGTGTTTTTACAAGCAGCATTTATCCCATCTTAAATATTCAAACTTATCATCTCACTTTATGCAAAAGAAAAACCACTTTTTATAAAAAAATAAAAAAGAAACCGATTTTTATGGCCAAAAGATCACCGAATCTGGGTTCAACATCAATGGGATTCAGTTATTTGGAGTGATTAATCTATGGTTGAGGTCTGTGTTGGCGATACATAAAGTAGAATTCGAATGTCAGGGGAAGAATATCACAAAGTTAAGTCTTCATTTTGTCTTCAAAAAAAGGTTAAGTCCCCGGTGTTGTTGTGATGGTCTGGGGATGTATGTGCTCTCAAGGAGTTGGAGATCTCCATTTCATTTATGGCACTATCAATGCTGGGGGATTTAAATTTCAACAAGATGGCGCAACCTGCAATACAGCAAAATCTTCAAGCGGTCCTGATCTATCCCCTATCGAGACTTTTCGGCATCATATGAAAAAAGTACTTCTAACTAGACCAGTTGGCACAATTCCTGAATTAAAGGGAAAATTTCAGGACATTTGGAATAATTGTCGACCAGATTACTGCCAAACATTAGTAGGCACTATGCCAAGGAGAATGGATGACCTTTTAAAATGTAGGTGGTAACACAATGGTAATGCTGAGTAAATATATTGTTGATTAATTGGCAAAAACACATAGTATCAAATAATCTTATCGTATCCGTTAAATTTATAATAGTTAAATAAATTCTAATAAAATTGTAATGCATATTAGTCAATATAATTGTGTCGTACTGATTCGTTTACAGTAAATTACGAAAATACTTCCTATAGAATCTTCATTTCTCAGGATAGTCGAACCTGTTATGAATGCAAAGCTTCAGGACATATCGCTAGCCAGTGTCTTACGAATCCCAGTAATGCTCCAACTGTAAACTCACGTACAAATCTCCATAACCAAGAAATTACCGATATTCCTAGTTATAAAAACTTTTTTAATTATCCTCATTTGGCGACAACACCGTTTTCACAAACTTGATACAAGTTGATACAATACCACATTTTTCTGAAACAGCTATTTCAGCCAACCTTACAAATAAAACTTCAAGCTGGACTTCTGTCACTACTTATGAGTTTGCTCCAGTACTTGCAAATGTACTAAAGCCACATCATAATACATAGTTGCATTTAAGTGAAAACTCTCATAATAGTGGCTCCAACGCAATTACCTCCATAAAACGCAGTTTTGGCGAGATCATTTCTCCTCTTAAAGATTCAGTAATTTCATCACAAAATCGGTTCACAAAACCCAAATCTTTTAAATGAAAAAAACCTCACTCATCCAAAGATCTATCTATTTCAAAAACTCGTGAAAATTTTGTTGATAACCATACACCACCTTTCGTTTTAAATCACCACCAATTATCAATAATTGATAATGTTCGTTGTTTTTTGTCGACGACTTGGCAAACGAAATAAGGTTAATGATATTGGTTTATTTACTTGGTATGTGCATACGCTGTATAGTGCAGGTAAACTAAGAAGTCTGTCCAATACACTTAATGAATATTCAGCAGACATCAAGAAATCAGGTGGACAGGTAGTGCTAGCCTAGAAAAAAAAATACTACGCTCTCTACTACAGCGGAGATAAAAATAATATTTTTGGCGTGGGATTCATACTGAATAAACGATTGAAATCAGAGGTCATAGCTTTCGATCTAATAAGTCCAAGGATATGTAGAATCCGAATTAAAGGCAGGTTCTTTAATTACAGCATTATCAATATCTATGCTCCCACTGAAGATAAAGAAGACGAGGAAAAGGACATATTTTAGGAGAAACTGGAAAGCACTTACAGAGAATGTCAGAACAACGACATAAAAATTATTATTGGTGATTTTAACGCTGAAGTCGGCCAAGAGACTATATACCGACCCACGATCGGCGAGCATAGTCTTCATGCTCTCAGCAACCAAAATGGTTTACCCCTGATTGAACTCGCAGCATCATTGGGAATGGTCGTAGTAAGTACATGTTTTCCTCACAAAAATATTCACAAAGCCATATGGCAATCACCAGACGGTCAAACAAAAAACCAAATTGACCATGTACTAATTGATAGGTGACATTTTTCAGACGTACTAGATGTAAAAGCATGCAGAGGTGCTAATGTAGACCCTGACCACTATCTTGTAAGAAAAAAACTCAGGGCTCGAATATCAAACGCTAAGAAGGGCCAGAGCACAAAATCTACGAACTATAATACTGATATGCTAAAATCTGGGATAACTAGAAGACGCTAGGGATAACTACATGAAAATTTTTAAATGAAGAGCTGACAAGAATCGACGAAAATTTAAGTATCTATAGAACACTGGACCAAATGCAAGGAAGCTATCCATACAGCAGATAAACGCTTTTTAAAACCTATTCAGGCTAAAATAAACGAAGATTGGTTTGGCGAAGAATGTAGATCCATTAACCAACAGAAAAATGAAACATGTAAGAGACTTCAGCAGCGCAGAACGAGATCAAACCTGGAAGACTATGAAAATATTAGACGAGAAGAAAAAAGGACGTTTAGTAGGAAAAAGAAAGAACCATACGCTCGTCTAAACGGTCTAAACGAGATTGTTAACCATCACAATAGGAAAGACTCACGAAAATTCTACCAGAAGATAAACAGCTGCAGAAAAGAGTTCAAACCCAGAATAACAGCATGTAAAGACAGAGATGGTTCCATAATTAGTGATAAAGAACAAATACTCAACAGGTGGGCGAATAATTTTGAAGAACTGCTTAACGACAGTCGTGAAGAATACCAAATAGAAATTACTTTGCCTGAAATGGATGAACACCTGTGCTCGCTGCTAACCGAAGACAACAATGTAAGCGAAGAAATTATAAGAAGAATAGTGCTTGCTAATAAGTGCTATTATGACTTGAGGAAACATATGGCCCCAAAACTACCCAAAAAAATTAAAGTTACCATATATAAAACACTAATAAGGCCAGTGTTAACATACGGGTCAGAAACGTGGTCACTTACACACAACGACCAATAATTACTTAAATGTTTCGAGAGAAAAATTTTAAGGAAAATATGTGGAGTCCAAGAACAGGGTTTGTGGCGTAGGCGCTACAACTTTGAGTTATACAAAAGTTTTGGGGAATCTGACGTTGTAAAATGTATTAAATTAGCACGCCTTCGATGGATAGGACATGTAATTAGGCGAGATAAGGATGCAACGATCAGAAAAATTTTCAACCGAAGAGGACCAGTGGGAAGACGAGCCAGAGGAAGACCAAAACTTAGGTATCAAGATAACATAAAGGATGATCTAAAATCCATCGGAGTTATAGCATGGAGAAGAGTTGCCAGAGACAGGTGCGAATGGAAGATTGTTTTGAAGAAGGCTTTGGCTCATGACGAGCTGTAATGCCACTGATGATAATTGATAATGTTCAAGGCTCACCCGACACTATTAACGTAGTCAAAGATTTACAACTGCTGTGGTTGTTTTACTCCATCCCTTCAAATTCAGCTATAAATATGCAAATGATAGATTAACAAAGATCAAGTTTGCAAAACTTGAAAAGAAACTACTCAACAATTTAGGGAAATATATAGGCGAGTTGAACAGTGACTTATCTGTAAACAATCGTTCAGTATCCTCCAACTCCGATCATAACAAGTTACCTAAACTCATGAAATTATATTTGTCTGAAACATCTGTTTAAAAGTTAATAAAATACCAGCTGTCTCAAGCTCATCAACATCAAAGAAGAGTTAAATTTTTATGGGTATTCTCACACGTCGGAATAAGGGGAAAACGAAGAAGCTGACAAGACTGCACGACAGGCAATTTTTAACGATTATTCGGCGTCTATAGACAGGTGTGTTCTCAGTGACTTAAAAGCTTATTTTAAAAATAACTGTTGTTCTTGTGGCGAAATGAGAGGTGTAAAATTACTTCTAAGCTGAATAAAATCAAAAATAATGTTTTTCAGTGGATCCCATCGTCGCTTTACAGTCGTGAACAAATGTACTTGTGCGTTTACGTCTAGGACATACCAAGTTAATGCACTGTTATCGCCGAGGTAAAGTTCGATTAATAGTTCAACACTTTTTAATAAATTTTGGTAAATATGATCAAGAAAGACATCGTTACAATATATCGAATTCTCTAGCAGAGCTCTAGGTCAAAAGCGTTCCTGTGATAGTGTAGTTAAATATCTTAGATCTATAAACATTTTCTATAATCTGTAGTTATTCACTTTAGTTATTTATATTTTGTTCGTCGCCAATAACCCTTTGGTGGATGTGACTTTTTTTTTTCTAATAAAAAAAGTACAGGTCTCCAATGCCAAGGTTACCAATTAACGTGGTTTATTGTCCGTTGAAGACGCGATTTTTTATGATTATCTATTAGATGTGGCTTACAGATAAGTTTTCTAGGTCCTAAACACTCTCTTGATCTTTTTCGGCACCATCTCACCCCTAACTACCATTGCAATGAGAGTACTTCATACAGTTGGCTTATTAGTGTACATCTTCCATTGACATACAAGTCCTCTAGACTTCGGTAGATCTTTATTCTGCCGTACTGTGCTGAAGATTCGCCTGTAGGATCCTGCTTGGGCCTATTAGGAACAGATACAGGAAAGACTGTCAAACATGACAGTGTATTTTTACCGCTATAATTTACCAGAGTTCGCCAGCTCTTTGGGGCATCGTTTAGGCAACACTTCCTATTTTACCATGCATAGCATGGTCATGTGCCGTTACACATCAGGATTAAGTATTCCAGAAGTCGCAGTACAAGTCTCACCGTATAATAAGTCAGTTATGGTACGACTGTGTGATGATTTCCGATTGAGTATGGTGTAGGTGTACATGTGTGTATCTACTGTGTTTCTGTTCTCTGATGTGCGTGCGTGTGTGTGTGTGTGTGTGTTTAAAAGAAGAAATTTTCCCAACAATATTTGTTAAAATATACGCCTAAACAAACTTTACATTGACAATATCAAACTATAATTGTCACGTCATTCAGCACGGTGACGCAGTGTGTATATGTGCCTCCGTGGCCTATCTCAATTACGATGTTTTTCGATGGCTGTATACAATTAATTACATTTTTTTTTCAGATATATTAATACAACGACTGAAATCTGAAAATAGTCAGTTATGCCTAGTCTCTCTCGCCATGTTTGAATCAATGGTTGATCTAAACTGTGAAGATCTAATGTTGGAATTAGTTTTTAAGCATTTGAAACCTTGCTTGCATCTGATGTTATCCCAAAGAAAGATGCTGTTACCCTTAGACCCCTATTGTCAAAGTTTTGAAAAACTTCTGACTCTAGCTCCAAGAAGTTGCCAGTTTGTAGAATTTTCCAAAGATGTTTATGATAATAATAACCACTGGTATGCGGTGAAAAACAAACAGAGTCTATATGGTAAATATTTTCCATATTTATGTGATGCTAGGAATAGGATAACACATTGTCAAATGTCATGTATAGTTTGGAATAACCTTTATACAGGCGAAGATGAAAGTTTTGGTAAGTTCAAAGCATTTATTTTTATGCATACTATATACCATATCATCTTCCTCAGCCTATTCTACCAATTAGAGTGCAGCCTCCCTTACATAGTCGTTCCTCATTTTTGCCGGCTAAATGTTGTACCAGCTCGTTTCCTTATGTCATAGTCCCATCTTAAAGTTCAATGTAATTCTAGTGGACCATCTGTCGTCAGTTCTTCTCGCTAAATGTCCTACCCACTGCCATTTTAAAAGATTTAATTCTGTGGAATATATCAGTGACCTTGGTTTTCTGTCTGACCCATTCTATTTTTTCTCGATCTCTCTTTGTTATGCCTAGCATGCATTGCTCCATTGACCTTTGAGTGGCTTTATGTCTCGCTATTTCTTTCTTGAATGTCACGGCCGTATGTCATGATTGGTAGTATATACTGATTGAATGCTTTATTCTTCAGGTGAAGTGGCATTTTCAATTTGGATATAACTGTATTACTATCAAAAGATGCCCATGCCAGTTTCATTCGTCTGTTAATTTCTGGGTATTAATTATTGTCCCAGGTATATATACTCGTCTATTGTCTAGAGTGCAATATTGTTTATTATTACATCTTGGACATCCACTAGCTCGGTGTTTATGGTTTTTGTATTTGTAAGTTCATTTTTAGACCAACTTTATTGCTAGCTGCATTTAGGTCGCTTATAAGTTCTTGTAGTTCTGCAGGATTATAGACAATCAGGACGATGTCGTATGCAAATCTTAGATGGTTGAGCTTTTATCCATCAATGGATAGTCCTTTGTTCTGCCCGTTCATTTTGCTGTTCATATAGTTGCTGGCAGTTCATATAGAGTTGCATTGAATAACGTTGGTGATAATGCATCTCCTTGTCGGACGCCTCTGGTAGTCGGAAATTCTGGAGTGTTTTCATACATTTTTACCTTAGCTTTTGCTTTTATATTTTTAAATCACATAATTTAAAAACCAACTTGTTTACAATGAAATAATTGAAATGAAAAAATAAACTCCATGATAATAATTATATATTTCAAAATCTGAATTACAACTGTTTTATAAACTATTAACTTTATATTTATATCATGACTTCATATTTAAATCTAAGGCTTATATCTGTCGTAACAGTCTTTTAAAAATGGGGAGAATTTACTATTGTACACTTCAGTACATTGGACCATTTAAATCGACACCTTAAAGCGAATTTAAAACAGTCGTATATTCGTGGAATGGAGTATACGAACAGAGTTTCTCAAATATTCATCATTGGAACTATTTCAAAAAAGACGTAATAAACAGAGAAATCATCAATTACAAAAGATTTTTTTGTTTTTCAGTATCTGATATTACCACCCCTATTCCTAATTACACTTTCCGATCGATTTCGCATGGATCGGATGACTTTCCTAATAAATTCTTGAGGCATTGCTTCCCATTGATCATTAAGCGCAGATCTTAATTCCATTATGCTCCTTGGTGCATGATTTCTGCTCCGGACCCTTCGTTTAGCTCATCCCAAATATGCTCTATTGGATTTATGTCCGGACTCAAAGCAGGCCAATTTATTGTAGGTATACCAATCTCAGTCAGATTGGTGGTGGTGACTCGTACGGTATGACATCGTGCTTTATCATGCAATAAAATAAAGGCATTACCAATAAATCCGGCGTATGGAACCACATGTTCCTCCAAAATATATCTGATGTAACGATTCGTCATTAAACCTCCTCCACGTCCTCCACCAGGCACGAAAACCAGCTCGGTTTTCCCATACATGGAAATGCCTGCGCAAAACATACAAGAACCGCCTCTATATGACATAATTTCTCGTATACAACATTAAGCAAATCGTTCCCCTTGCCTTCTATAGACTCGACTCCTCTTGTTGTTGCCATGTAGGCAGATCCTACTTTCGTCGGAGAAGAATACCTGACTCCATTGATAGTCGTCCCAATCCAGATGTTCACGAGCAAATTCTAGTCGTCTTTGCATCTGGGCTGCAGTTAGCTTGGGACCAGTAGATGTCTTTTTTGGTGTCAGGTTGGCTGCTTGCAGTCTCCTTCTGACTGTTCAAACGCTGGTAACCACACCTCGGACCTCTCTAAGCTCTTCTTTGAGATTAGCACCAGTCCAATGTCGATTTCTCAAAGATTTATATACAAGAAATCGATCATCTCTCTCTGTTGTTATTCGTTTACGACCTCCTCCTTGTCGGTGGATATAATCACCAGTATCTTGGTACCGACGATGCACTGGGGACACAGCAGATTGGCTTAAATTTAGTAGATTTGCCACGGCTCTCTGACTCAGGTCTTCTCGTAATAATGCTACTGCTTGAGCTACTTTGACGGACGTGGTATCCATGTCTTATGAAGTTGCGAACTTAATTGACTGATGTATTAGTGGGTTGCTATGGAAATTGATGCTTACGATGTTAACCAAATGTTTTAAGTGGGTGCGTGTCGATTTCAATGGGTCAAATTATGACCCCCTCTTTACGTGTTACATTATTTATTTGTAATACGTCACCCGATTTACTAAAAGTCAAAACTTTTTTAAACTCAATACATAATGAGGTTAATAATTGTACACTAAATATTTTTAAATTTACACCTTTTTTGATTTAAATAGGAGACGTACTTTCGCAAAATAATTTTGAGTCGATTTTTTTGCACTCAAGTGTAGTTCAACATTGTTTCATGTGTATTTATTAATATTTCCAGATAATTCGCTGGGTTCGTCCGTAGACCGAAGTTTAAGTTTTATATCCGACGAATATAAAAACGAAGAATACTGGAAAAGACCAATAAATAATAAAAGAGAAATAACAGAAACTCCGACAATTACAGATATTGACCAGTCAGGGGCGTCTGCAGGACCATTTCTTACAATCCTAATGGATAAATTAAAAAACTTTGTATCAAACTCATTTTACATTAATCTTCATTTGACTGGTTTAATATCTAGACTTGCCGCTTACCCTCAGCCACTACTTAGAGCATATTTATTAGACTGTAGTTTAGTTCTACAACCCAACGTGCCATCTGTGTTTGAAGTAAGTACCTTTTAATAATAATTTAATACAATTTTTTTATCTGGTATAGATGGTTCTGTAATCTTCGTCCAAAAGTCTCGAGTCTAACTGATAAAACCACTTAATAGTCATCCTTCTAGGGTGATACACTAATGCCAATGCTTCTCTAATAATTCAATGCATTTTTTGTAAAACGATTTGTTTTTGGTCTCAAAATGAGCCTCAGTTCCCGCGATAACTTTCATATTTGATTAAAATTTCTTTCCTTGGAAAATTATTTTGAGGTCTGCAAACAGCCGGTAGTCGACGTTTACCAATCTGCAGAATATGATGGATGTTGAAGCAATTCGCAGTGCAATCCATACGCTTTTTAATCGTTGTGATTTATCTGTGATACGGTGGAATTATTATCTTGGTGGAAAGCATTTCTTCTTCATTTGTGACTTTTTTTTTCCAATTTATTCTTTCAGATATACCAGTAACATTGCATAATATTCACTATTGGTGATTCGTTGGTTTTCAAGGTAATCGATGAATCGAAACCATTGCGGCTGATGTTTTTGTCTTTCATCGCTTTGACAACTCAGCTGACTGTTAGTTTGTCTATAGTGAAGTGATAAATCCATGTTTCATCGATTGTTACATATCGATACAAAAACTCCTGTTTTTCGTACTAAAACAGTTACAAACAGCAATCTAGCGAAAACCACTTTACAAACAACTTTTTTTATTGACAAATGTTCTTGCAAAATGTTGAATATACTGGTTTCTGATATATTCTACTTTTCTGCTATATCAAGTAGCTTCAAGTGGCTATAACAAGTTGGACGTTGTCTGTTCAAATTAAGTTACTAAAATAATCATATTCTCAAATGATGTGTATGGCATTTCCTTCATCCTGTTCGTATTTCCTGCATCATGGTTCGTTCATCTTACCTATGTTGTATAGGTGTCTCAACCCACAATGTCCAGTCACCATTACTGTGACTCTTTTTTAACTCTCGCTACTAAGTTTGACAGATTGCGTGAGAGGTTTCTGTCGATGCTGTTTATTAGTTTCTTTGTACGGTTGCTTGTGCTTTGTATTTTGAGAACTCCTTTCCAGCCTCATTTTAACTTCATATCTTCTTTAGTGACGCAACAAAACGACCCAAAAAGGTTTCTCTCAAGCCTCGTTGTCCTAACGAGTTTCCTTGTTCGTCCCCTTTTCACCCCCCCCCTTACGCACCAATATTAAAGACATTCTGTTGTTTTGTGCCAGTTTATTAAGAACATCCTTGCAATTACTTACAGTTACTATTTGGTCATTGGTTCTATATGGTTAATGTAGCTGCCTGGCTATCGATATAAATATTAGTCCTCTTAACTCTGTAACGGCCTTAAAATTTCCTTGGTGGAGACTAACTACCAGCGCAAAAAATTCAGCCTGGAACACTGTAGTGTGTTGAGTAAAGCTGTACATTTTCTTTTGATATTTTGTTTTCTGTTCGAATACCCTGTTTTCTTGAGTAATCTTTACTCCTTCGATGAACTATATTAAATTCCTTTAAAAAAGTCCCCAGAGTGTTAGCATTTTCTCCAAGTTTGTTGTTGTTTTTTGCTGCGTTATTTTGGTGAAAGGCTATAGCGGGATAAGATGGTCAAAATTGCACCATGCTCGATTCAGTTTTGGGCCTGGCCATTCGAAAGGACATAATTAAAAACTCAGTCAGTTAAATTTTCAAGTCCCTAGGTGCCTTTGGGGGTATGCTATGAGAAAAAACGTATTTAAAACAAAAACAATTTTTTAGATGCTTTTTAGAAGCACCCCCACCCCTTAACAATAAATTGTATGGGCCCAGGAACAAAACAAAAACAAATAAGTATTAAAAAGAAAACAAAAAATTTATTTATACTGCAATAAGAAACAATAATATGTCAGTTTTTATAAAATAAAAAAATTAATAATAAAATAAACATAAATTAGGTTTTTTAGTGATATGGATGACTCATAACCTTAACAACATACACCTAAATTAATGTTAATTCATATTTTTATATGTATTCTTACCTTTACAATCGAAATAAGCTATTAAACTATTATTTTTTTCCTGCAGCATGCTAAAAAAAAACGAAAAACCCCGTTTTTTGGCGTTTTTTTAAGCTTTCGCTATACTAGAATCTCTAAATTCAGTGTTTACATGAATGGTAATTTACATTTTCACATGTATCTTTCCCTTTACAATCAAAATCAGCTATTCAAAGCATTAGTTTTATCTCACAACATTCTGAAAAACGTTTGGTTTACATTTTTAAAACTTTTGTTCCAAACGTTTAAAACTTTGGTCAAAGTAACAAAGTTTATTATCAAATATTTATCTATTTCAGTAACAATAGTAGTAATAATACAAAATTAGCAATGAAATAAGTGAATTTAAACTATAAAATGTTCTCTAGTATAATACTTTATATATTTTTTTTTTTCAAAGCGGTAATTAAAACACCCAGAATTAGTATTAAAGAGGTACTTATAAACTTACTTTGTTACACAGTTGATTCAGTCAAAAATTGAGAAAGATGTAGCAAAAGCTATTCAGCAGAACGTCGAAACGCAGTGTAAATAAAAATACAGCATTGGCTTTCGTGAACCTCCATTATAATGTTTACTTTACTATTAACCTCCGACCAATAAATAACCACAATGCATAGGGTCGACGTTATAGTAAAAAAAGAATTTGTTGCTTCACAATATAAAACAATAGTACTGGTTATTGTTGCCTGTTATTTTAAACACGACACAATTCTGCTGTCAAATTCAAAATCAATTCAAAATAAACACAAAAACAGAGAGCTATTGAACATTTGAGAAAAATCCCCGCCGAAAAGATAAAGGCCCTAACACGCAAACTGACTAAGAACGATACAGAGGATATGGCCCTACACACGCAAACGCACTAAGAGCAATATATAATGCGAGCCTGATTATCTCATATATACATGGCGTTGATAGTTGCGCCGCCTAGTACCAACTACCGTGCGGCGCAACTATCAACGCCATGTTTTCTGTTACAATCAGGCTCCCTGGATATGCGGGATGTCGGGCTAAGACATGAAGGCCAAAACAGTTAAGTACATATAAAATATAAAATAAAATAATAATAATATAAGCATGGGTATAAGGCTCTTGTATCTAAGCGGAAGAGTAAGGCATGGACGAGCATGGTACGAGCTTATGAATTTATATAACAAGGATCTCAAAAGTCATGAAACTATATAGATATGCATTTGTGTATAAATGTAAGTACATTGTGATATAATATCACGTATATATGTAGATATATTCGCTAGCTTATAATTCCACAACTTTTGAGTGTACAAGTGCGTTCTAATTCACGATTCATTTTTCAGTCTTTTGAGGTTATGTAGTAAAAACAACGAGAAAACGGGGTTTTTCGGTTTTTTTCAGAAAGTAATGAGATAAAACTAATGCTTTGAATAACTGATTTTGATTGTAAAGGGAAAGATACATGTGAAAATGTAAATTACCATTCATTTAGACACTGACTTTAGAGGTTATATAGCGAAAGCTTATAAACAACGCCGAAAAATCGGGGTCTTTCGTTTTTTTTTAGCATGCTGTAGGAAAAAAATAATAGGTAAAAGTTTATGGTCGGTATGGACCTTACGTGGGATGGAGTGAGAAACACCTGTTTAAAAATAGAGAGGTATATTAGGTCCGCCCTTTATATCACCGAAAATTCATTAGTGGAAATAATAAAAAAGGGGAAGTTCAACGTTGCCAAACTTATTGGTTTTATTTGACCTGTTGTGTTTTTTGCATTTGAACAATGTTCCAAGATAATAAAATTTGGGCGAATTGATTTAAATGGCAGCTTACTGTTTTTATTTTTAATATGCCACAATTTTACTTTACAATAAGTGTAATTTAACATTTTGATTTCCACTTCGGAAATCGTTTTATATAAATAAAATTTATTAATGTTTCATATTTTAAGTACGATTTCCTAATTACAAATCTAAACATCAAAATAAGCTTATTTTAAAGTCACATTGTGCCTTATTCCCAATAAAAATATTAAACTGTATTACGACGTCACAATAAAAAAGCTTCATATAAAATTATTTGGCAACATCGCGTTTCGCGTCGTCCAACTAAGGACTGCGGTAACGAGTAGAGGTGAGTTGACTTTTTTATCGTTAACGCAACTGAATCGTTTTTCGTAAACAAGTAACTAGTTGATTGTTTAACAGTAGTTTCAAGTAAGAGAGTACATAAACAAACATAATGGCTATTATCGTTTATGTGTCTATTTATTGAAGTGAAAGAAACTAATGAAGGATATATTTATTATAACTTGAAAAATAAACTAAACAATACAAAATAGTAAATCATACTTATATTTACATTACACGTTATTATTAAATCGCGAATCTGTTCTTATTTTCTTTAAAATTAAACCAGATTTTGAACATGTGTTCACATTTACAATATTTTATGAATATAGTGGTTAAGTTAGGATATACATGCCGATGGTTTTTCCACCACTGTAATGGACTCTCGATACAGGTGTACGTTTAGATGAGTCATGTCCAATTAATTGATCAAAAATACAGCATGGACTTAAGTCATCTTTATCGGTTTCTTTTTCTTATACTGGTTGATTTTCAATAGTAGAATCTTCTTGTTCTTTAATTACAGAAGTAACCAGCTTCTTAACTCTTTCTTATATTTTTTTAGCTTCATTTTTATCAGAAAATCCCTGCACTTTAAATCGTGAATCCATAAATGTACATAATGACAATGTGCCACTCTGTTCTATCCCTCTAAATCTTTTTGATAAACCCGATATTAGTAATTGTACTACGTCGGATATTAAAGATGTAACGTTACTGTTTTCTAAAATTTTATTGCAAGATTCTTGCAGGCAGCGTACCATAACAAGCCCTGAACTACCCGTGAAGTATTTTTGGCCACTCATTGTACTTGTTATTTCTTTAAAAGGCCGTAAAATTTGGGAAAGTTGAGAACAAATAATTCAGTCTTAATTATTTAGATTTTGCCTCTTCTAACTCGGTCATTCTTTTTAACATGTAATAGGTAAAGTTCTATCTGAAGTTTGCACGTTTTGGATTGGCCGTTTGGGAACTTTGTTATGTTATAATTGATAATTTAAAAGCCTTTCTGAAGATAAGATACTTTTTTTAAATGTGTTTTTTTGCCGAAATGTCGAAAAAAAGACTTTTTATTTTATCTGTTTCTACACGACAGCATTTAAATGCGTCCTTCACCAATAAATTTAACATTTAAATGTTTTCATTCCAAAACATCTTTAATAGCTTTGACCATATTTGAGGCATTATCAGTTCCTGCAAAATTTACTTTTCGTTTTAGACCCCACTGAATTTCACTAATTATGGTTTCATAAAACGGTTTAATAAAACCGTTTTAAATTCTAAATTTTCGGTTAAATAATGTCCTGTTAATGCGATGTAACTCTCAGTTACTCCAGATGTCAATAGTAATACAGATATTTTCTAGTTCTTTAACAACTTGTGATCTAATAATTTGCTCAGTTTTGATATAACATTCCTGAAGTAATGAACCTGACAAAGTTTTTCTTGTTGGCGGTTTATATCCAGGAATCCACCCTACAAACATTTTAAAAGCTCGTTCTTCAATTATGGAAAACGGATGAAACGAGTCTTTGCATAGGTTTAGTAAGTCTATTTGTTTCTTTTGTTCTAAACTAATATTTTTATTAATGGAAGTATCCATCATCTTTTGACGCTTGGGTGGCGGTGGCAGTATGCCAGTACTTGTAGTAGGAGTAGTTGAAACGGACAGAAATGCATCAGGAGAAGTTTCAATCATTGCAATATTCAGAAAGTGGACCATAAAAGCTGCATCTTCTACAAATGTGCATTTTTTTAAAATAAAATTATTATTCTTATACTAAGTCAATAATTTTGACTAAGAAAAAGTATTCTTAATTGAATATTTACAATAAATAAATTCTTTGACGAACAATCAATAAAGATTTGAAATCGAAAATGCAGATCAATCGAAAATCGAAACTCATTCATTAATCAGAATACCTAGTTATTTTATTTTCAACGTCAACCGATAGCCCGACTGTCCACTCTCCCGAAAGAGTCGCATGTTATTTTTAGTATTGTAGTAGTCTCTCAGATCAACTAATCGTCCTTGTCGACGTAAAGTGTTCGTTGCTCCTCTGTTTACGTCTACACAAAACGTAGTTTTTTTTAATCAACCATCAACTAGTTGGCTTACCAGTGAGAAACCGTAGACTCGTAAATGGCAAATAATGATTTAAAATGCAGGGATTTTTTGATAAAAATGAATGTAAAAAAAAACAAAAGAAAGAGTTAAGAAGCTGGTTACTTCTATAATTAAAGAAAAAGTTTGATAATTAGTTTCTTTTTCTTCAATACATATACACATAAACGATAATAGCCAATATGTTTGTTTATGTACTCGCGTATTTGAAACTACTGTTAAATAATCAACTAGTTACTTGTTTACGAAATAACGATAAAAATGTCAACGACCCACCTCTAGTTTCTTAGGTATAAGCTGAATCGGAACCAGAGATTATGTAAAATATCTCTGATCGGAACTAATCGTCTCACTAATGGGCGTCTATGAGAAATGTGGAGGAGAGACCAAGGGAAAATATTATTGTTATTTTTGTCTATTTACTGAAAATATGATTTTATATCTGTGTTAGATATCGTGTTGAATTTTAGCATACCGACCATAAACTTTTACCTACACCGTATAATTCCTGCAGCTCTTATCTATTCGTGAAAGCTACCAGTTTGGTTTTGGAAGGGCTCTCTTTTGGATACCATGTATTGGTTTAATGTGGGGTATAACGCATCTAATCTGAGATGGTCCCAGGGAATTTTCTCCCAGCAGGGTTGCTGGGATGACCGGTTTGTAACAGACGGCTTCCTAAAAAAGAAAAAGAAAGAAAAACGTGAATAAAATCAGGGCCTTGATTCTGATTGAGATTTCGACTCAAAACATGTCGAAATTAATATGGCGACGTGGAAATGCGACTTTGCGAGCCTAGTAGATTTCAGCTGAACTAACCAAAGGACGTCACTAATTTTCGATTTATCGAAATTAATTTCAACTTCAAGGAAGTGGTTGACTTTTCATTTTAAGTTGAAATTAATGTGCCATAACTGGGAGAAGTGAGAAGCGGTGTTGTTTTACAAAGATTCTTACAAGGAAAACTGAGGCAAATATTAATATGGCTGCGTTTTATGAGAAATTGTATGCGATTCGGCACATAATTGGTCGTAATTTTGACACCTATGATGCGTATTTGATGCTGATTATTTTTTAAAATACTGTGGTGCAAAAATTAAAGAAATAAAATGTCCCAATATTAAAACTAAATTGGAAACCACAATTTTTGAAGATATTCAACAGGCTGTAATGGAAGATAGAAATAATAAATAATTTGGTTATAATAATTTATTTGTTCTTTTTACAAATTATGTGTTTGAATGGCATGCTCTTGAAAATCTACTCTCTTATTTGGAGATATAAAATAATCTTTAAACTAATCACGAATTTTTAGAGCGGTTATATATTGTTGTTAGTAATACATCTCCTCCTACTTTCAGTACTTCCGATGCTATTTGATCCAATCCCTGTGATTTATTGTTTTTCAATTTGGCTACTGCTGTTCTAATCTTGGTTATTGTTGGTGCCTGGTGAGCACTTTTCTCTGATGTCTGCTTGGTTTGTATATCAAAGTTCTCCTCCAGCCGCCATTATGACATAAGTTTTACGTTTTTGCGCACAAATTGACGCATTTCTTGTACAAGAAACTGCAACGGGCACAAATTCTTGTATCGTTTCTAATATAAAAACTATACGCTTGTATGACACTATCCATTTTTTTGTTATCAGAAACGATATAAGAAATCATACGGCCTTAAGAAGAATGTTACGGGATACTCAAAATCCTTTTTCACTAAGTGATGCTCAATGTAGGCAGCAATTCCGACTTAATAAACAAGCTGCAAATTATTTGATAAGGATATTAGAACCATATTTGGAGGAGGGTGTTTATGCCTCTAGGAGACCCAAAATGTTTAGGATAAGTATTACTGCAGTAGCATTAGCTGCAGTAAATTTGAAAATATATTAGAATATAACCATTAAGTCAAAAGCCACCATAATTTCTTTTTGGTCCACAGACAATTTAGTGCCACCATCGCCGACAGTCTCTCCATCCATTTTCTTTCAATTCAAAATATAATAATTGAGAATGGCCACTAAAAATTTAACATCTCAAACAAGAAACAAAAGGCGTAACGTAAATAAAATAAACATTTAACAAGCGTTGTGCAGTGTGCAGCCAATAAACAAAACGACCAACCCAAATTCTGAGCAGTATCAAAATGATAAATTAAATATTCCCACTTTTAACTAAAATCGAAATGAATGAAAATCACTAGCGATTGCGACTGTCATGGCGTAGTCGCTTTTAAATTTCGACATCGAAATAAAATAGAATCGGGGCCCAGACTTATTGCTGTGCGTGATATTGCGAGAATATAGTCAGTTTACCCAATTTTCCCTCATTTGCTTAATCGCCAAATCATCAGACAGCCGCACTACAACTGAAACATACGGTGAGATTTGTGATGCGACTACTGCGTGCCCATGGGGGTGCACAGAGAGACAATTGTTGCCTAAGAGATGCCTCAGAAAGCTAGCAAACTCTGAGGGTTTATAGTCTTGGCACTGTATGGGCGCAATGCCGTACCTGTCACCATTTCGTCCCGACTCGTGGAAATAAAGCGGACAAGAAACAAGAAGAGATGGCCCAGAAGAGTACTCATAAATGACTAAATTTTTTGACTCCAAAAATAAAGCTGTAGAGGGAACGAGCAGAGAGATCACGACGGTCGCGGACTCTGTACATCCCAAATAGGTCTCAATGATTAAAATCATGGTCTGATCAGCTAAAAAAATGATTGATTCCATAATAGTTTCTAGTCCTTCTTGGAGCCTGAAGAAGCCTACCTAAGATCTTGTCCGCTGGTTTGTATGATTTGAATGTATCTACAGCTTATCTAACTCTGTGTAAACCAAACATCTCATCTGAGGTCGTCCAGTCAGCACTGGTCGGATTGTAGTTTTTTGTTCATCAACCTCCTGAATTAGTTCAGACCCCGAGAAATGGGCATTCAAAAATTAATCTAGAGAACGATTTCCGAAGTGGAAATCGAAACGTCAAAATAATTATAATAATAAATAATAGATAATAAATTATAATATATAAATTATAATAAATTTTGTGGAAGTGTTGAAAACAAAAGTTTTTAGTGTTTCATTGTTTATCTTATTAATATGCAATCATGTTTTTAACAAAGATATCTTTATTTCAGATTATTGGAATACTGAAACAACAAGTAGATGATTATCTTTGTCAACAACCGAATTGTGTACAGTTAATTAAATTTGCGAGAAACGTCCTTATAGACCGAGAAATAATGTTAGTGAATCAAAGAAAACACAATATAGAACAACAAAACTTTCAAAATTTAGAAATAGAACCTTTCCAAAGAAATAGTCCAAAACGAAGAAGCCTTGGTATTTCACCCATTAGCAGTTTTTTTGGAAGGCGTCCAAGTCAAGTTGACGGAAATAGTCAAGTAATTTTAACTCCAGAAGAAGTTCAATTTAATAAAGTGTATCAAAAATTTAACAAAGACCAACATGTAGCACTGTGTGCAGTATTGCTTGATGAATGGGTGAAAGAATTATCTGCTCTTGCTCAAGAACACACTGTTGCACATTTTGCAAATCTTTTAAAGTAACTAATTATCTTTATTTAGAATTTCTTAGAATTCCGTCTATAAGTGTATCTATCATATCCATATAACAATAAATATTTTAAAAAGTATCTCGCTACAAAAACTTGGTGGTTGGTTTACTACAAAGAATCTAACTCAGTAAGAACTGAGAATACTATTCAGTGATATTGAGCCAATAAAGTAGGAATTTTATATTGTGTGGAAATCACAATATGCGCAAACACTCAGGAATACTTTTAATTAGATATAATAATTAGAAAACTGGACTCAAATTAACCTTTGTAATGGTTAATATATACAAAAGCCCTACACATTAAGGCAGATTTGTATAGCGTTCCAAATAAGAACTGATTCATGTAGTCATGGGAGAGAAATGATCTACTACTAGTTAAATTATGTAACTGTGGCCTTGAAAGAAAGACCAAGAGTAATGGAGACCAACTGTAATGGAATATAAGTATGTAAGAAGTGTACAAGTGACTAAAATGTACCGACAAAAATGGAAATTACAAATAAGTATAAACATTGTAGGTAGTTATAGTACATTTGAAAGTTATTGATATTGACGGAGAATATAAACTTACTTTAATATAAAAAACTAAATATTGGTTCAGAACATTTCCTTACAATATAATAATAAATATATCGTCCTATAATTAGTAATATAAATATATAATTACATACCTAAATACATAAGTTGTCTTCTTCCGATAAGGAGGCATCATCATTATCATCAGTTTCTTCGTTTCCCACAGAAATAATAATTGGTCCTATTCTTTCCTCTAATTACCGTATCTAGTTTCCAGAATATTTCTTCCTCTGCCATGACACGTCTTATTTGAGCCCAGATTAGTTCTATGGGGTTCTATGGTTCACAGTGATAAGATGGTAACCGCAACACTTTAACTCCATGTACTTCATGTACACTATACTTCTTAAATTTTGGTGAATATTGTTTGCATCGCTGCAATAACTATTTCTTTGGTTATTAGCCAATCCAAGAGTTCTTGCTTTCTCCATTTAGTGTTAGGTAATTGTTTCTTTAATCTTAAATGGTAACTGGCATTGTCTATGACTATTACACAATTGGTCGGTAATAAATCTGTCATTTGACTGAAATATTCCACAAGAACATCAGCAGTTATTTCTTTATGGTAGTCGTTCGTAGAATTTGAAATAAAATCTAGAAAGTTTTCATCAAAAATTCTTTATCTCCCCAATGTAAGTGATAATTAAACGGCGACCTTTATTATTTGGAAATTTTAAGCCCGTTGACAAACCTTGTATAAATGCCTGACTAGCATTTGTAACCAGTTTATCTTGTCAAACTTTTTTTACAAAATGTCCTTCATTTATCCATGTTTCATCTAAATAAAAAATATTTTTGCCTTCTCTCTTCAATTTTAGAATTTCTCTTTAGTATTGCCTCCTCAACAAATAATTTCTTCTTTCTTTATGAGCGCAGATTTTCTGTTGTTATGAGAACATAAACGAATCCTAATTCACGTAAAGTTTTCCATAATTTATACCTTTTAATGTTTGGCAAAAATTCGTCTTCATTAATGTCTACTAAAAGTTTATCCAAAGTAGGAATATTTTTATGTAAATAAAATGAATGAACATTTTTTCTAATCGAGTGTTTCACAGTACCGTCTATATGAATGGGTTTTCTTTCTGTTGACGTTTTAGTTGCTTCTGTAATACTTCCACTCTTTTATTGCTTTAAAAGTCAATAAACAGTTGCTTGTCTAACTCCGGTCATATCTGAACACTTAGAAACTGTACTCTGAACAGTACTTAACATCAAAGTTTTCATTTTTACGGTTAAATTACTTCAATTTCACAGGAGTAAAATTAGACGTTTGTGACATTTTTACCACACAATTTTAGTTATTAATATCGCTTTTTATTATAGATCTAATAGTTCTACCTGTTGTAATTACAGGACTTTGCAAACACAACCTGTTAATCTTAACTAAAATGATTCACAATCTGCAAAATACGTTCTGTCGCTTGGAAATGTTAATCCTTTCTAATAAATTTGAGGGCTTATCAATTGACTCTTTTTTTTTAATTGTAAATATTTCATACCTGTAGAGATTACGTACTTATATTAGTTTTTTATTAAAATAACTACAAAATTTAAGAGAAGAATTGAAATAAATTGGTATGTTTGGAAATTTTAGGTAAAACCCAAACATTTTCAAAACAATGCTGAATATTTTACTTTAAAAAATATCCGTCACTGTTTTATGGTGTTTTATTGGGTTTAATTTCTTTTAATCAATAAAATGTATGCTATCGGTCATTTTCAAATGTACTATCCTCCATTACTCAACACATATACATATCATATGAGGCAATAATTTTTAAAACAAAGCTATAAAAACCTTATGATTTCTGTTTTTATATCTGCAGGAAATTATTTTGATCCTATATATTTTTTCACTTATAGACTAAATTCTAAGAATTCTCTTGTGAGACATGTAAGTCATTATATATATGGGCAATTCTGCACTAAATGGAAAATACCTGTCCCAAGCTAATTTTATGTAATAAATGTTAATATTTTTTTGTATCAATATCGATATATTATTAGATATTCTTATCCCGTCACAGCATATTTAGTAATTTAATAATGGAATATTTAAATAAATGAACCTCAAATACCTCAAAACACAGTCCCCTGGTATGTCCATTTTCCATTTCATAGCACAGGGACCTAGACTTATTTTTATATGAATACTTAATAAAATAAAATTATTTAAACATATTGGATTAAAGAAACAACTAAGGCTACATACTAGATAATCAATTATTTTAATTTGGAATTTTTCAGGGAACAGTTTCACTAACGGCTGACACGCGGGTTTCACTAGCAGACACAATAGTAGCACTAAACAAAATAGCGGTCGCCCCACGTAGCTCAATAACAGATTTCTGATATCAGTTTTGTCCAAATATTCCATGTCCATACCAGATCCAGATTTATGTCTAAAAGGAAGATTATTTTATTATTTTCCTATATCTGTATCGATTTTTAAGAAATACGTTCATTTAAAGCTTTTTACTGAAGTACAATGTTAACACTGACTTTTTTGTAAGACATCGTATAATTAATATTAGTGACTTTAGTTACTTCAAAAGTATTAATTTTTCAAAGTATTATGTCAACTCAAAATGTCGGTAAACTGATTAGCAGAAGTAATGTTTTTTGATTTTTATATTTTATTATGGCTAACTTTTTTTTAAGCCTTTCTTTCTATTCGGATTACCAAATATAGGCCCCTCCTAATTCTCGCCATTCATCTCTATTGTTTGTAAGACGTTTCCACATTGGTCCTGCAGTTCTTTTAATATCGTTACTCCAGCGCATTTGCGGCCTTCCTGGTGTGATCTTATGGCCGCCAATTCGCGATTTCTTTATTCCATCGGCCATCCTTAAGACGTTCGTTATGTCCAGTCCATTTCCATTTCAGTTTTGCTGCCTGTTCGACAACATCTTTTACTTTTGTTCTATTACGAATATCTTGATTGGTTTTATGGTCCTTGAGTGAGATAAACAGTATCTGTCGTTCCATGAGTTTTTCTGATCTTCTCCATGTTTATTTTAGTGAATGTCCAGGTTTGAGCTCCATATGTAAGTAGAGGTAGGATACAGGAATTAAACACTTTGGATCGCAGTCTTTGAGGTATATTTTAAGTACGTATGAGAGTCTTCCGAATGCTGCCCATGGATGTTTATCATAGGTTTGTCATCTTTCTTTGACATTAGTTTAGTTTTGCTGAAATTCATTTTCAGTCATTTTTTTAGGGATTCTGTGTGTAGCTCCTCAATCATCGTATTCAGTGCATTCCACGTTTAGGTTATTAGTACTACATCATCTGCGTATCTAAGATAGTTCAAGTATCTTCCGTTAATAGGGATTCCCTTATTTTCCCAGTCTATTGACTAAAGTTATCAGTCTAAAGATATCTTAGATAGATATCTTAGAAAGATATCTCTAGGGCAGCTGTAAATAATTTTGGAGATATTGTGTCTCCTTGCCTTACGCCTCGGTTGATTTTGACTGGTCTTGTTTCGATTCCATTACTCAACGTCACTATCATTTCAACATGTTCATTAATATTATGTATTAATATTCTGTACCTAGAGTCGATCCGGTTGTTGACTAATGCTTCTTCTACGCTATCGAAAGCTTTTTCATAATCTATAAAAGCCAGACAGTGTCATAAAATTAGAATCTTAATAATACTGTCAAATTAAACTTAACAAAGACAATTGTTTTTGTCCATAAAAACGGTCCCCGGATGGCTACGACAGTCCCCTGTCACAGATTTGTATAAAATTGTCCATAACTCAAAAACCAAGAGAAAATGTGTGGGTTTTTTAAAGAAATATATTTAATTTACTATTGCCCTTCATTTTATTGACAAACATTTTCGACATGTAATAAAATTTTCTTAGGGACAGTTCTGTATAGAAATTTTCCAAATAGCAGAGAAACACTCATATGTAGATGTATATAATAATGTATATATGGTTATTGTATGAATAAAATTTAGTTTTGTTTGAATTTGTAATTAAACTAACTTTATTAAACGAATTTTGTTCTTTGAAGTTATATTGTTTTATTAGTCCCATGCAGTGGCATGTTCAATAACCCAATTGGCTGAAGTACGGCCGGTTTATTGCATGTTAAAAAGCTTCGACGATCCGAGAAAAAACAACAAAAAGGAAGTCAGACTCATTTATGATGTATGTAAAAGTAAATAGCATCAAAATTTGAATGCTTCCAATTTGTCCAGCATTTTAGTTTTTGGTGTCCACATCTCGTGGCCTTATAATAGGATAGAACACGTAGATCATATCAAGGCCATCTCACAAATATTCACTAATAGGGTTTTGTTATAAAAGGACTGGTTTCGATGTCATAAAGGCCTTCTGGGATATTTCAATACTGGTTATTATCTCTTCATCAGTCTCTTCACATTCACCCAGC